GACATGGTCACTCTTCTTAGAAAGGCGAGAATCATCAAAACGAGATTGGAACTGCTCGATAAATCCAATATGGCTAATCGTAGTGTATCTGCATATAAAGAAGGAAGTCCTGTTGATCGGACAAGAATTTCGGTTACTCATGGTCTTAGAGTGAAATTGAAAGATCTGATGAATGATTTTCAGTCTCTTAGGGAGCAGATTGTTAACGAGCACAAAGAAGGGCTTAAGAGGAAATATTATACTGTAACCGGAGAGATACCGAGTGAGGAAATGATTGAAAAGATGCTTTCAGGGGCCGAACCCGTGCAAATTTTCGAGGGTAAAGAAGATTTAGCGATGGAAAATCAAGAAAGGAATGAATCTGTGAAGGAAATACAGAGAAGCTTGGTTGAGCTCCACCAAGTGTTTCTTGACATGGCCGTGTTGGTCGAGACACAGGGTGAACAAATGAATAACATCGAGCAGAGTGTGGTGAATGCCAGATCGTATATCAGTGGAGGGACAAAAGAACTTGATCGTGCTAAACAGATGAAGAACGCAAGGACTTGGTCTTGTTGGATTGGTGCAGTGGTTTTGGTGTTCATATTAGTATGCCTCATAGCAATTTTATTCTAAGAAGTTTCAGAAACCTGGTACGTTGGGTTTTGACACAGCATATTATAGATGTGAGGAATTTTTCTATGTTTTCACTTTGAGCACAATTTATTTGATGATTTCTGTTCATCATTTACCTTCATTAGTACAGGTGCTTTGCCTTTTGTATTCCTCTCAAAAGGTTTCTGCCCATGTTCCTTTATAGATTTCTTATATGAAATGTTACACATTGCTTTGGGATCATGAAATTTTTGCTACAAAAGTTTGAATCTCGTGCCTTTTAATCAAACTAGTGAGGTTTAGCTTCTTTTTCTTTGTATTAGTCCATTGCTAGATTAACTTTACCATTTTAGAACACGCAGTTTCTCGTTCGCCCTCTGGGGCTACCATAACCAGAACTGGAAACTGATTCCTCCCAAAAAAAAAAAAAAGGGCTTAGATATTAAGGTTTGGGAAACTTTGGTGTGACCTCATGGAAATGGTGAAGCCTCTTCCTCAAATACAGATGTGTATACTCCCAAAATTGACTTAATCGCAGGAATTTTTCCGACTGTCCAACGACCTATAATGCCCCCCACTTCCTTTCCTCCACTGGCATCAAAAATCTAGAATTCGAGATAGAAAGAAATATTGGCTGATGACTGATGAGCTTTTATAAATCGCCTATCACAACAAGACGAATAGCGGGAAGATGAGCTAAAATCCTATGGGGAAAAAAATTAATAGTTTCATTACTCATAAAAAGGTATACCAAAATGAATTTACTAGGATTCAATAGGTACACTCCTACATGAAGTGGACGTTGAGTTGATGAGCGGACAACATATTGATATTTTGTTATTTGATTAATTTGGGATCGACTAGATTAGCCATTTTTCTCATTCGGTCAAGCTCATTGGAGCTAATACAGATAAGATTTAGAGCTGCTATATTCTTAATAACTATAACAAGGAGTGTATAATTTAATCCAAATTTGTTTTGAATTACTCTCCAAACAATGACTTTTTGTAGTTAAGTTTCATTTGTTCACTAAACTATTTTTTATTCAAATACATCATCAGAGAAATAAAAACAAATTGTCTGTTTATAACACGTTGAATACATTTAATTTTAATTCTCTAACCCCCCCCCCCCCCCCCCCACCCTCACC